ATAAGAATCAACAAATGGGACTTACTCAAACTAAAAAGTTTTTTCTCAGCAAGAGAAACAATAAGAGAGGTAAATAGGGAGCCTACATCCTGGGAACAAATTTTTACTCCTCACACTTCAGATAGAGCCCTAATATCCAGAATATACAAAGAACTAAAAAATTAAACAATAAGAAAAAAAACAAGCCAATCAACAAATGGGCCAAGGACCTGAACAGACACTTCTCAGAGGAGGACATACAATCAATCAACAAGTACATGAAAAAATGCTCACCATCTCTAGCAGTCAGAGAAATGCAAATTAAAACCACCCTAAGATACTATCTCACTCCAGTAAGAATGGCAGCCATTATGAAGTCAAACAATAACAAGTGCTGGCAAGGATGTGGGGAAAACGGTACACTTATCCATTGCTGGTGGGACTGCAAATTGATGCGGCCAATTTGGAAAGCAGTATGGAGATACCTTGGAAAGCTGGGAATGGAACCACCATTTGACCCGGCTATTCCCTTTCTCGGACTATTCCCCAAAAACCTTAAAAGAGCATATTATAGGGATACATCAATGTTCATTGCAGCACAATTCACAATAGCTAGACAGAGGAACCAACCTAGATGCCCTTCAATAGATGAATGGATAAAAAAAAATGTGGCATTTATACACAATGGAGTATTACTCAACACTAAAAAATGACAAAATCATGGCATTTGCAGGGAAATGGATGGCATTAGAGCAGATTATGCTAAGTGAATCTAGCCAATCCCTAAAAAACAAATGCCAAATGTCTTCTTTGATATAAGGAGGGCAACTAAGAACAGAGCAGGGAGGAAGAGCATGAGAAGAAGATCACCAGTAAATAGGTACGAGAGGTGGGAGAGAAAGGGAGAGAGAAGGGAAATTGCATGGGAATGGAAGGAGACCCTTATTGTTATACAAAATTACATATAAGAGGAATTTAGGGGAAAGGGAAAAAAACAAGAGAGAGAAATGAATTACAGTAGATGGGGTAGAGAGAGAAGATGGGAGGGGAGCGGAAGGGGGATAGTAGAGGATAGGAAGGGCAGCAGAATACAACAGACACTAGTATGGCAGTATGTAAAAATGTAGATGTGTAACCGATGTGATTCTGCAATCTGTATATGGGGTAAAAATGGGAGTTCATAATCCACTTGAATCAAATGTATGAAATATGATATGTCAAGAGCTTTGTAATGTTTTGAACAACTAATAATAAAAAAAATAAAATATGCCTAAACTGATAAGTTCAATTTTTATCTCCATTATAGTTCTGGGCTACCCAAAATGCTAAAAGCAAAGGTTTTCATGATTTGAGAAATCATTAAAATATAAATACCACCTAAAAAACTTCTCTATGAGAAGTAAAAAAAGAGTCCATAAACAAGCAGTATCCTAAGAAGTCAGTACGCTTGGAGTTAACTAGAATTTTTCATTTTTAAAAAATAACAAAGGCTGACTTCAGTTCAGCACAACCATGCCTCAAAGCGGTCACTAACCTGGCTGGTCTGATCACTTCTGTTGTCACTGGTTTGAAGCAGATCACCACTTGCCTTGGAGAAGCACATGGACTAATGAGACAGGCTGTGACTGGCAGCACCCCACTGCTGAAACCACGCCAGCACAGGTGCAGAGAAGGAGCCCTGTGGACTCCACACCCCCTCCTTCTGGGTCTCTGCTCCCTCCCCACTTGCTTTCTCAGCTTTTTACTTTCTCTACAGAGGTCCCATATTGTGAACACTAGGAAGCTTATTTCCAATCTCCATGTGAAAGAAATAAGGCATATCTGAGTCCAGACTCTCTGGTGGGTTTTAAGGAGTATGCATACTCTGTAGTTTCTAGAGGGTTCTAAGCCTGGTCATCTTGGATGGGAAAGCACCCCAAGGGTACGAAGGCTTTCTTTCCTTACCTATCCTTTCTCTCCCTCAGATCCTCTTTCTCCTCCCTTCTTTCTATGTATTTATGTATGTATAAGTATCGACAATTCTATTGCTATTTTCTTCCTTTCCTTTTTTACTTTCCTGCTCAGATAAGCTCATCACAGGCTCTGCTCAGCCCACACCTTATGATAAAGAAAAAGATGTTGACTTTTTCTATTGCTACTGCCCCCTTCATTCTCTAATCTTTTCAGATGGTATATGATTTGACTAGGAAGTAATTTAGGAGTTTGGATAGATATTCTGGACACATAAAATGCTTGAAGATAAACTAAACTAAAAATCAATTCTTTGAAGGTAAAAGAGAGCTATGGACAACTTCCCACGTGGGTTCCTTACCTCCCCATCTCTTAGTACTTAAGATATAAAAATAAAAACCTTAACTATCAAGAATAACTGCTTTTTAGCATTATTCTAGATTATTTATTTTAGAAAGTTTGTTGTCACAGGTATCAATACACCAAAGATATGGAAATGGCTTCATTATACAAAGTTATATTTTGTAATTATATTTGTAAAATAATAATAAAAGTATAATGGTGAAAGAATATAGATGAAACTGACAATTGCTTCAAAATTAGAAGGATGCATAAAATGTGTCCAGCTATATAGAGACTAGTGATTTGGGTACTTTTCTGTATATATCTTAGATTTCATTAAAAAGTTTACATAGCAAAAAATAACAATCGAAGAGGAGAAAGTTAAAAGGGTTATAGCTAAAACAAGATTACCCAATAAGTTAACAACTCTTGAAGTTGGATGATGAGTACTATTCTATTTTTATACATTTGCAACTTTTCATAATAAAAGATGTTTTAAAATGGCACTTACAACCCTAAGAACTTTTTATTCTAAATAAAAAATTCAGAATCATGGTATAAAAACAGTGCATCCTTTAAGAGTAGATTCTGAATTAAAATATAGTACACTAAAAATGAGGAATCAACGTTTCTGTGTAATTTTCTTAAAAGTGACAAGAATTTTTCAAAAAAAAATCTGTACAAGGACTCTACAAACTAAGATACAGAGATGTTCTAACTCTAAGGGAAATTTCTTCTTATTCTGTAGTAAAATACAATAAAGGAAATAATCAAATCTAATTATCTCCTGATAATACAGCAAATGAGTTGGTTCTAATATAAGCAAAACTAAGAGTATTAGTACATCCTAAGAATTATATTTAGGTATCTTTTGCATGAATCCAGTTTTATTTGGTTTCTCCTGAGGGACTTGGCCCCTATTAAGAGTCAATTTACATTTCTCAAGAACTACAGAGGACTATGTAATGTTTTGAACAACCAACAATAAAAAAAAAAAAGAATTGAAAACAAGAAAAAAAAAGAACTACAGAATGCAACTAGCATTCTGAAAAAGATATAAATAGCAATTGCTGCATGTAGAGAAAAATTATCCAAAATATATGTTTCCTGGAATTTCCTAATTTAAGTCAATTACAACAGGTGTATTATGTCTAGCAGTTAATGGAGACTGGATTTAGAAGAAATATTTTCTACTTAACTGAAGAATGTAAGTGGTTGCACTGGAATGTACCAATGAATTAAATTATCTGTTTTTTTCTTAAAATGCCTTACCTCATGCAAAAGGTTTACACCTTGCATTGTAATGTAGGCATTTCTCAACTTATAGAAAAGTTGTTATAAAAGCTTATCCATAAATGAGCTTCATGGAACTCAAATTACATTTTCCCACTGAAACAATTTTATAAAGAGTAATAAGGCCATCTTTAAGAAATCCATAAAGCTAAAATTCATAGAACCTATTGTGCTTTACTGAAACACAGTAGGATTTTTTTTTTTTTAACTAACCACTCGGAATCATTACTTGGTTAATACAACAGATTCTAGGAATATGTCTCTCCATTGCTCTATGCGTGTAAAAACAAACACACACACAATCTATCTACCCACACCTATAAAACAGAAAGCTCCTTTTCTCTTTAGTGTAAGCACAATGAAGGAAGTAGAGCTTAGAAAAGAGGTTCTTGTATCTGAAGGCTGGGAGAGGTAGTATGCTAGAGCTTATTAAAAGGCAATGAACACTAGAAGTTTCTATAGGATTGGTTCCTACTGAATCTTAAAGATGCAGGACAAAAGTCTTGTAAGCAAATGGAGCATTATAACTTCTACCAGTTGTCTCCTGGAAAGATGGTTTGTTTGTTTTCATTTTGTTTTTTTGCTACCAAGGACTGAACCCAGGGGTGCTTAACCACTGAGCCACATCCCCAGCATCCCCCACCTTTTAATATTTTATTTAGAGACAGGATGTCACTAAGTTGCTTAAGGCCTCTCTAAGTCCATTCCAGTGGCTTTGAACTTGTAATTCTCAAAACTGCTGGGATTACAGGTGTGCGCCACTAAGTTTTCATAAACTCAAAGAAAAATAAAGTATAGGTTACTTTTGTGAATATTAGATATATCCAAAGATCTAACAATAACCTCTCCTCCCCAACTATAAGATTGGGGTTACGGGTTGAAGGAGCCTGCACGGCAGCTGACAGGCATCCCTCTGCCAGGGACCAAGGCCAGGAAGTCTTGGCAACTGCTATATCAGGAGAGGGCTGCCTACACTTGGGACCTACTTTTCTACTCTACCCAAACACATCTAGATTTTTAGATTTTTTTAATCCACAAAACTATTTTTAAGGATGCAAGAAAAAGACATAAAAAAAATCACAAAGACAAATAACTTAATTTCACATGAATACATTTTCTCATATGCCTATTCCTTTGACAATTTGAAAGAAAAATACATAGGGATCAACACTTCCTCAAAACTAGCTATTCTACTATTCAGTCCCAACACCAATTTACAGTCACTCTTTTTTTTTTTTTAAATAGTCACTCTTAAGTTGAGAATTTCATGTTTCAATTATGCCATGCTACCATTATAAGATTTTAATAAGTATTTTTTATAAAACTCATATCCATAAACATTACATGACTTTACAGAGACCACTGCAAAAGCATATGAGAACAAGAGTTCCACATTCCTCCTGGTCTCCAATTCAGCTGAAGTCTACTCCACTTGCCTGCATAAGTGTTGGCCTTGTTCAGGAGTTCTGTGCATGCATGCATATCAGCGAAAGCCCGAATTCCTAAGCAGTTGACAGGGTGAAGCTGAGATTCCAAGAATTCACAGCAAGTCTTCTTCACATCCTGTAACTGTAACAGACCAGCTGCTGGGAGAAGTACCTGTAACACACAAGGGAAAGTGCTTAGGCCACTGCTATTTTACCTGCTTCTCCAAAGGGCACAAGAGGTCCAGTCATCCACACCCAAGTATTCCATAGAAAACAAATGTAACAATTATTTGCAAAAGTGGTAATGACTACTCTTCATTCTCTATAATTTCTAAGGAATCCTTCAAAGTTCTCGGCAGCTCAAGAATATAAGATATCAGATCATATTATGTTTATGGTTTGTTTGATAAGCATAAACAAAATGTTCCTGAATTTTTAAAAACACCCATTATTAGTAAGCTAGGGGGTGCTATCATTCAATAAAATGGTTTTGTTTGCTTAATGCAAGGGTCCTGAGCTTCAGAATTTTGTGAGTAAGGAGTGTACCCAGACAAAGCCACATTTTTCAGAAGGCCTGCTCTTCCACTGTCTGAATAATACAACAAACTGCTTTTCTTAGGAGGTAGAACAACTTTATTTAGCCATTTTTTAAGAGTGCATTTTAATTATACAGAAAATGTGTTTCACTGAGGCACATCCATACATGTATATAGCATACTTTGATCATAATTACAAGGGTACAATAATTTAAAATTCAACATGAATCTCTAGTTACAAGCAATTTCTCTAGAATGTAATACATTACTGAAATAAAAAGCATAAGTAGTAATTGCCTAATAACTTTTAAATTCATATTTGTATTCCAATAACTCCAAGCAATTTTATATCAATTATCAGTTGTTTTGTAGAATTTAAGAACTATCCTCACTATAAATACTACAACTAAGATTATACTCCTTTTCAAATAGATCAATAATGGAGCGATTTTTTTCTTATAAGTGAATGAGGAGAGCACTATTTTAAGGACCAGCTTTGAAAATCAAATTGAGAAAAACTTCATTTAAAAAGTTATTGAATGCCAGGCACAGTGGCTCAGCAGTTAAGTAAAGCCCTAAGCAATTTTGCAAGATCCTGTCTCAAAAATAAAAAAAGGGCTCAGGAGGTAGCACAGTGACTAAGCACCCCTGGATTCAATCCCTGGTTCAAAAAACAATAATAAAATAAAATAAAATAAAAAGAAAGTAAGTTACCGAATACCTACCATTCTTTCAAAAAGCCCACTCCCCCAAAAATCAACTATTTAACAATGGTCAATGTTAGAAAAGATATTAGCATAAAAAAAACCTTCTAAGTTCCTTCAGGAGTTACTTTAATATATATACCACACTGTAGTCCAAAGAAAATAATTAGAGGAAACAGTAGCTGATGAATACCGTTTACGATTTTCCTAAATCTATGTAATAAGATATAAATTTGTAAAGAATGATAGTACTCATATGTCTTTCTATATCACAAACTACCTGTATTTTCTTAAATGAAACACGGACACTTTCACTATGGGATCTAGAAGCCCTGGGTGTGTCTGCTGAACACAACCAAATATTAATGAATAGAACTAAAGACCAAGAGGGTGATGGTTTGTATTTTAACCCAACTCTATCAACTACTAATAGTTTTCTCTGAAAAAAGGAAAATGGTAACTAGAAACTGCCTTTTTCTTTGAAGAAAAATAAAGTATAAATAACGTGGTTATAGTCAAACCTTTTGCACAATATGGAGTGTGCTTCATTATGTTATGAGAATGAATCTCCATGGAAGACTTTTAATTTGTTGATAATTTTCAAATTAGAGGTTTTTCTATGATGGTATAATTGTGCTCTAAAGCAACATAAAGCACATTCCAAGATGCTTAACAGCACAGTCATTTAATTCAGCAAACACATATAGTTTGGAAAGTGGTCTTCGGCGTAATACTCAGTGCGTGAAATTTACATAAATGGTAAAGATCACTCATCTAATCAGCACTTTCCCAGGGACAAAAGAGTGTAGTTCAGTAGTATTGAAAGCTGTTTGGTAACACAGAAAAACAAGGAGGATAAAGTGGTTGAGCAGAAACAGGCCTGCTTACACAATGCTGGTGGGAGTGTATCTTGGGTCAACTTTCATGAAGAACAATTTGTCTGCTTCAATCAAATTACAAATTAACACAATCTTTGATTCAAAAATTTAACCTACAGATACACTAACATGCAAAATTTTGTATGTACAGATATTTTTATTACAGCATTACTGTAGCATTAATAGAGAAGCTAGGGAAAAGCCTGAATCATAAAGAGACTGGTTAAACAACTATAACCATCTATTCAATGGAATACTTGGTAGTTACTCAAACGAAGAAATTATACAAATGGGATAGTTGATAAGATATATTCTTTTTTTTTTATACCAGAGATTTAACCAAAGGGCTTACCCACTGACTCAGATCCACTGAGTCACATCCTCCCTTTTTATTTATAGACAAGGTCTCACTAAGTTGCTCAGAGCCTTGCTAAGTTGCTGATGCTAGTTTCCAACTTTCGATCCTTCTATCTTAGGTCCTGAATTGCTAGGTTTACAATACAATATATTTTTAAGTATTAAAAAACAATAATTAGTACATATTATGCCAACACATGATATATATTCACATTTACATATATGCCATCTTAAAAAAAAGCAGCTAGAACAGGTTTTTAAATTTTTATTTCCCTTCACTGTTTTCAACTTCATCACTACAAAGTCCAGATCTACCTTAGAGGAGATCAAAACTCATAAAAATCATAGAATCTCAGATCTGGAAGGAACAATATAAGTCCAATATAAAAGTTATTTCATCAGTGCAGCTAGAAACATATAATTTTTATTGATGGCAGTGATGAGACAAATGGTTCTATGCTTAGCAAATATACATTAAACTTATAAACCGGGCCAAATGTATAAAAAGTGCTTATTCCTATTTTTCTTTTGTCAATAAATCCTTTCAAAATGAGTCAGTTTTATGATGTAATTTTACTAGCGCTAGACTATTTAGCTTTCATAATTACATACAGTTTCAAAAACAATCACTAATTGGTCCAACTTGCTAAACATGACATTTGGTGACCAACAGTCACTCATAAATGAAAACAGGAAAGTAGTCAGGGCCTCACCATTGACCTTGCTTATTTTGTGGATTAGTCGAACAGCCAGTTAAAACAAAAAATAATAAAGGATACTCAGACTTTAGATGAAACATGTTCCATGATCAAACTACTCAGACAGTTGGCAACCTGTGAACTGGATACTTTAGAATTAAATCAAGTTTCCCAATAAACTGTTTTGGAAACCAAACTCATGAGGAGTTAAATGCTTTGTCCAAGTCAAACAGCTGGCCATTGAAACCTATGGATACAATTAGATTGGCCAACTCCTTAGTCAGTAATAATACCTTCCACTCCATATTTAGGTGCAGAAGGAAGGTACTTGTGTAAATTTCTAAATATCTAACATTCTTTTCATCATAGTAATAAAGACAGCAACCACTTCAATAATGCATTCTTAGTTGCTTCCATTTACTGAGTAATTACTGTATCAAGTATGGAGCTAAACACTCATCTGGAGGTTTGGAAAAGTTGGTTGACTTGCCTAAGGTCACGTACTTGGAATGGGACAGGTCAAGCCTCCTACGTGAGCAGTATTAACCAAGACAGGTACAACTATTTCAGAAGGCACACAGACCTTGTGTTCGTGGCTATGAATATAAAAGGAATATATTTTAAAAGTTACCTTTCACTTTTTTAATAATATAAATATTCTTTCCTAAATAAATTTATTTAAATAAAAATGAAGTCAATGTAGAGAAAAACATTAAATATTTAACAGTATTCATGGTACAGAATATAGCAAAATTCTAGAGGATGCACATAAATGATTGAAATTTGGAAAATGTTGATTTAGAAAATGAGATTTAATATTCTAATCTTTCATATCTGATAACATGCTCATTCCTATGATTCACATAAAAGTGACAAATAAGAACATGCTTTTACCTGGGGTACTCTAACCCTAGGACTTATTTTCTACTGAAGTGGCTAAATTATACTATTAATAAAAAAGTGGAAATACTTAGCAAAGCAAAGAGGTGATTTCTTAATTTGCTCTGGGTCACAAAAATATCTTGGGCATTGTCACTTCAAGATCCAACAAATAAATTTTCATCTTAAAAACTTATTTTTCTGAGTTGTCTAGGACAAAGAAGCAGCTGAACAGTGATAATTCTTACATGAAGTAGATTATAGTTAAAATAAATGCACAATGGAAATTTTCCATTTATTTATACTTCTTTAATATTAACTCTTGAGATTAACGATCTAAGACAATGAAGTATATTCTAAAACATATAAGAAAGAATAATTATAATTTTCTATATATTTGAATGTTAATCATAGAGTCTAAGAATCTCAGAGTGATTAAATACAATAGCACATTTATACAGGGAGAGCCACACTCCCAAAGCCAGGGGAAATGTAAAGTAGGTGACTCTCTGAGAGTCTCCACTCAGACTCTGGTGTTCTTAGCACGAGCTCAGTCCCTTTCAAGTCCCTACTAATAGCTTTGCTTCATTTCATTTGCTTCACAGGACTAACACAACTGGAACGAACTGATCTTGTGTTTTTGTTCCCATGTTTAGTGTTCATCTCCCTGCAAAGGAATACATAACAGCAGGATCACATTTTATCCCCTGCTGTATCCCCAGGTCTATAGCAATACATAGATTTGGTGGACAAATACTTAATGATTTGGAAAATATTCTTCATAAATAAATCAACTTGAATATAACTCATTTGTTACTTCAGGGGTATATAAATTTTAGGGCTAGGGATGTAGCTCAGTGATAGAGCACCTCATGCATGAGTTTCTGGGTTCAGTCCCCAGTACCAGATTTTAAAAAAAAAAAATGAAAGGGGTACAATTCTGGATGAATTCTGTGTCAGAATTACCAACACTCTATTTCTAGGAATGCATCTGTATGGGACACTTCTTGTGTCCTATATCAAATCCTCTCAGCCCTACCTCATGCTCCAGCTGCCACTGCCATCAGCAGGTTTGAGCAGACTTTGAGCAGACTTTGATCATCTTTGGGAAGATGTAATG